GAATATTATAACACGTCAGAGCAAAGCGAAGAGAAATGTGGACATGAAGAGAAACAATAGTTCACACATTTACTGTTGATACAAAACTAACGAGTGGAACTATGGGAAACTGTGTTGACAAAGAATTGGTTAATAATGAATAAGAATCGTTAAAGAGAGACAATAGTGACAATAAGATTAACACAGAAACAAAAAGATTTCAAAAACAACATTTAATCCTTCTGGCTGCTGGTTGAACAGAGCGGTGGACAAACACTTCCTGTTTCAGTTTCAACACTGAGCAGTTCCTCTTCAGCGTCTGGACGTTGATCAGGGTGACGGAGGTCGAACGGTAAACATGGAGGTCAGCAATAAAGATAGCGTCATGGAAACAGGACAACCACACAGTTTACAGAAGAACTTCCTGCTTTAACTTATTCTTATAGGATCTGAGTCATTTTTCATGTTCAATTCCAAATGAATAGATACAATCCTGGTTTGGTCCAATCTTTAGTCCTGGTCTGGTTCAATCTTTAGTCCTGGTTTGGTCCAATCTTTATTCCTGGTCTGGCTCAATCTTTACTCCTGGTCTGGCTCAATCTTTAGTCCTGGTTTGGTCCGTTCTTGTCTGGGTTTTGTTTCTGCTGTTTTAAAAGTATCACTGCTGCCTTGCTTCATATCTTCAATGGTGGAATCGTCCTGGTTTTGTCGTGTCACTGGAATAAAGTCTGCAGCTGCAGGATCAGTTCCTCGTGGGTTCCAGGAGATTCTTCCTGATGAAGAGAGGAGACAAACAGCTGATGTTTGTTAGTTCCTGAAACACTGAGGAGTAAAACCAGCCTAAAGGCAGCAGCCACACTGTTGCGTGTTAGAATTATACATATAGACTACATTTCCCATCAGCCAACTGGTTGAATCATCAGAACAGAGGATAAATGTCTGTTTCTTAGATTGAAAACTTTCCTACAACTCTCAGGTAGCATTCAAACAGCAAACATCCAATCACAGAGCAGCAACAGGTTAGGGGTTAGTTGTAGTATTGTAGTATGATAGTGGGCAGAGCAACAACTGGACATGACGGCTCTATGACAGCGTCCTCACTGCATTCTGGGATATTTGAGTTCAAACTTATTCTGAAGCTGAGTTTCGTTGCTGTGCATCGTTGATACACTGAAGTTTTTTCTCCTGTAAGTTTCCCTGATGATTCATGTAAATATTCTCATGCCTCAGATTTAAATAGAACTTCTGCTGCTAATGCTGAACTGACATTAAAATAAAACAGCTGCCGCACATGGAGAGGAAACAGTTCTTACACAATGACTGTGGTTCAATCATTTTCAGCACGTTACTGTTCCTTCTTCCTCTTTTCTGTTTTCTTCTTCCTCTCTCACTCTGTCCCAGCATCGTCCCCTCGCATTAGTTATCACAGCTGCTGGTTTCACTGCAGATCTGGATCAGCTTGGTTCTGTCACATGTCGCAGAAACGTTTCCTTCTTTGATATCAAAAAAAGAATCAAAGGTTTTTATGTTTACCACCAGGGTTTACGAGACGTGTCCGGGAGGTTTGCTGATTGTCTCTCAGTGCTTTTATGGTTCATTGAATCTGATCTTTCGCAGACTGTAAATAAAGACGACGACACGTCTCCACTTCCTCCAGAATGAAGCCAAAAATATCTCAGATACAAACGCTGCCATCTTGTGGTGATGATGTAATTTGCACCAGGGGGCGATAGAGATGATTTAGCTGAATAAAAAGTTGTTCATCTTTATTGACGGTCTGTGGGAGCTGCACAGTGTGACTGAACAGTTCACAGAACGCTTTCATTTGTTTTTTAATTTGTCATCATTCATTTTATCAATTTATTTCATTTGTATAAACATTTTCTCCTTAATGAAAATATGATTCAGTTCAAAGAGAAGTTCGTTCACGTGTCAGAGTCCTGACGCTTCGTTTCAACATGAAACCACAGAAAGTTTCCTTTTTCTTACAATGTCTGAAAACGTCAGTTTCAAAAGAAGTTTCGACATTTTAAACGTTTATTTCATTCTTTCATCTCTGCACATTAACAACTTCAATATAACCTGTGTGTGTGTGTGTGTGTGTGTGTGTGTGTGTGTGTGTGTGTGTGGTTCATCAACACAGATTCACTGTGAATTAATCTGCTGCTGAAAATAATCCCTTGTTTGTTTCATCAAAAATTACTGAGCTTTTTAAAATAAAGTTACACATCTGCAAGAGGTTGTTAAAGGTTTACGTATTCAGACTTTAAAAAAACTCTGGTTTTCAGAGTAATTTTTTTTTTGGTTTGTTTTCTTGAATAATCTTTTTCTGTTTTTCGGACTGATTTTTTTTCTGAGTTCAGAGAGCATTTAAACAATAGACGCATTCGTTCCTTTACTGAGAGCTCGATGTGATGGAGACAAACATGACCGGCTTGTTTAGTTTAATCAAGTTTGACTCTGATCTGGTTGAAGACTCTGGGAGATCGTCCTGTCTTTAAGTCATGTTGATGTATTATCATTAGTTTGTCGACTCTACGCAGACACATGAGGACTTTGTTCAGAGGGAAAGTTTCAGATCTGCTGAGATGAGACATGTATGTGGGGGCAGGAGTCACCATGGGTCCATGGGAGTCACTTGCAGGTTGGAGGTTCTCGAAGTATCTCGAAGTATCTCGAAGTATCTCGAAGTATCTCGAAGTATCTCGATAATTCAGAAAAAAAACTGAAAAAAAAATCCTCCGAAAAATAATTTTTCTGAAATAAAGAAAATACGCTTCCGTAGATTCATCTGGGGATTATTTTCATAATTAATCTATTAACTGTATCGATCACAGAGACATTTTTCCGATCAAAAGTCAAAACCTCCACATTCTAACTTTTAACTCAACAGTCATTGATTAATCACTGAAGCTTAAACACTGTTGTTTCAAACTAAATCTCTCAGTACAATGTAGTGGAGTAAAAAACACGTCTATAAAATGTAGACAGACGTACTAACGGTCAGTGCTTGAGTAAATGTAAGTCATCATCACTGTGAGGTCAGAGTTCTGCTCCGAGTTAAACAACATGAAACTGTGAGATCAGAGGTTGAAGCTTCCAGCAGGAGTGAGATCAGCTGACGGAGGGAGGGTCAGTGTCCCCAGAGTCTGGGTTGAACCACTTTCTGGATCCAGACATCTGGAGGAGAAGCTACAGCGTCATTATTTTATTTTTCAGTTAAATGTTCACTTCTCTTCTTTGTCTATAAAACACTGAAACAAACACTTTGAAACAGAGAAACTGAATAATGGATCCACGCACTTTGCTCCTGTCGTCTTCTGCTTTTTCTTCTTCAGTGACACCAAGAGAAAATGACCTCTGAAGCTACGACTCTAACACGACCTGAACGACTCTAACACGACCTGAACGACTCTCACACGACCTGAACGACTCTAACACGACCTGAACGACTCTCACACGACCTGAACGACTCTAACACCACCTGCACGACTCGCAAGGCATTCTGGGTATCCCTAGGTTTGAAGTGAGGGTCTGAAAAATCTCAGTTTCTATAAACCCAGAACACTGTTGGGATGGGCCGCCCGTACACGTGAACATGCAGAACGAAGGAGACTAAGAGGTGAAATGGGAGGAACACGACCTGTGAGACTCCAACACAGATGAATAATGATGGAAAAACACAAACAAGTAAAGAGTTTAGTTCATTCTCACTGAGTCACAGGGATATTCAAATCTGTGTGTTTGAATGTGTGTGTGTGTTTATATGAAAGTGTGTGTGTGTGTGTGTGTGTGTGTGTGTGTGTCGTGCAGGATAAGATCTCTGCTTTGTTTGGAGACCGTTTCCCTCTGCAGATCATTTCCATAAACACAGATACTGACAGAAGACAAACCTTCTCCTGTGTCTGTCTCTGCAGTCAGACGATGGGACGTCACGTGTTTCTGAACAGACTGTGTTAACTGAAGGAAACTGAAGCTTCTGGAGCAGCAAGAATCAACCAATCAGACGCTGCGAAGGTAAACTCAGGTCATTACTTCTTCTGATGACAAAATAAAGTTTGTTTGATTCAGTTCAAACCTGAGATATTGTGTGTGTGTGTGTGTGTGTGTGTGTGTGTGTGTGTGTGTGTGTGCTGCAGGTCACTGAAGGTCAGAGGTCATCATGCAGACTATAAAGTGTGTGGTTGTGGGGGATGGTGCTGTGGGGAAGACCTGCCTCCTCATCTCTTACACCACTGGAGCTTTTCCCAAAGAGTACATCCCAACGGTGTTTGACAACTACAGCAGCCAGGTGTGTGTGTGTGTGTGTGTGTGTGTGTGTGTGTTGATTGTCTTCATACACACTCAATGATTGTCGTGTGTGTTCAGGTGACGGTGGACGGCAGGACCATCAGTCTGAACCTGTGGGACACGGCGGGTCAGGAGGAGTATGACCGGCTGAGGACGCTGTCTTACCCGCAGACCAACATCTTCATCATCTGCTTCTCCATCTCCAGCCCGGCGTCGTACGAGAACATCAAACACAAGTGGCATCCAGAGGTCAGAGGTCAAAATGTGAAATGTCACATGTTTAATCTGCGCAGGGATTATGATCGAGCAGTTTCCCCTTTTTATGCTAAGCTAACTGTAGCATTTCTCTAAACTCGTTTTATCGTCTTATCACTGAGCTCCATCGTTGTCTTCAGGTGTCTCACCATTGTCCCAGCGTTCCCATCCTCCTGGTTGGCACAAAGAGCGACCTCCGAAACGACGCAGACATTCAGAAGAAGCTGAAGGAGCAGAACCAGTCGCCCGTCACCCACCAGCAGGGCGCCGCCCTGGCCCGCCAGATCCAAGCTGTCCGCTACCTGGAGTGTTCGGCCCTCAACCAGGACGGCATAAAGGACGTGTTCGCAGAGGGTGTGAGGGCCTTCCTCAACCCGCAGCCCACCGTCACCAAGCGGCCCTGCGTGCTGCTGTAGGGCCGGGGCCTCCACCCCACACGACCCTGCGTGACCCATGGGGCCCTGACGGGAGACGACGGGTTTGAGTCCAAAACTTGAGAAAACTGAGACTGAAAATTGAAAATGTCTAATGTTTGGAAAAGTATTTGTGATCCATGTTCGACTTCCATAAAGCTGAATTTAATAAAGACGACAGAGTGGAAGTGTTTGTGAGCGGCTTCGCAGGATGTTGTGTTCAGGAGCAGAAAGAGACCATGTGACTCCAACACCGTCGAGCTTCAGGTGGTTTTGTCTCAGTTCAAGTAGGAAAAGATATTTGTGGTTTTGATCTTCACTGATGAAAATGTTTGACACAATTTCTAAAAATTAAATTAAGAGTTGAAAACAGATCTGGTCTTTGTCTTTCCTCACACAACTGCACCGATGCAGCAGCTGTGAACCCGTCAGTCTGATGGTTGTTGAGGTGTTTCTGAGCTCCGTGTGTTAGATTATAACTTGGACTTCAGTAACACTGTCACCACCTCCACCAGGTCTCTGCTCCTGTTGTTCAGGTAAAATGGGGAAGTGAGTTTAATTACTAACCTGAGGGCAAATAACTTCCTCAAACCATGAAAGAGCTTTTATGTTGTCAGATGATAAAATAATCAAATCACAAACTGAGATCTAATCTCACTCCTGAGTCACAGGAGCAAAATGTCAACTTTTTATTTTACCGAAGATCAACCAAACATTTAGAACCACAACTAAAGCGTTTAGACGAGGACAGACATTAAGGTGGACGTCAGCCTTGGTTGGTGTAGTTGTTGATCTCTCCGGCTCAGGATATCGTCTTTTCCTCTGGAGCGCCTCCTCAGAGCCACTTCCTCTTCCTGTCCTTCGTCTCGAGCTGAAGCTTTTCTGTCTCTTGAACAAAAGCTGAACGTGACGCAAGAAAGACGGAGGTAAGTCGCCTGATAAACAAACACGGACTGACGAAGCTAACTTCCTGTTTGCTGATGTTTTCAGACACAATGTCAAGAAGTTAATATATTTACATTTTAGATTTTTAACTCTGAAGATGTCGACATCGAACAGTCTCATCTTTTCCGTTTGACGTTACGTCACGTTACCAAACTGCTAGCTTGTGAGAGTCTATGTTGCCATTGCCTAGCAGAAGTGTTCAGTGTGATGAGAACAGAAACCATCTTTTAAAAATGATTTAACGTCCACACACACATCGTTGTACTTCTATCATTGGGATAATACATCACCCCAACCTGAAGCATCCAAACTAAACACCAAACCTTGAAATAAACCAGGTCTTTACCCTCAAACCAGCCTTGGAGAAAGTGAGGGTCGACCAAAATGTCTTCACTCTGTAAGGTCTATGCTCAAAATGGTCGTCATGAATACACATATCATACAATATAAAAACATGTTACACACACACGCACACAGAGGTCACTTGGTTAACTTCTGTATTTGCTGAACAGGACTCCAGCAGTGAGTCTTCATTAAAGAAGATTCATGATGATTTTATTGATGTGTCGTTTAAAGTCTCGTCTCAGAATCTGTGTTAAACACTGTCACTGGTTGACGATGAGAAATAATCAGTTCATAAAAAGAATAACTCATAAATCAGCTGCTGAGTTCAGACGACAGAACAAACTAGACGTGTGGACTCTGCAGAGCGTCACTCGTCTGTCGCTCAAATCTTCGGACCACTTCAGGTTGAGTTCACGAGCTCACATGACGCCTCAGCGTCCTGCGGCTCAGTATCGCTTGTCTTCAGGTGGCGTGGCCACAATCACCTCCTTGCTCCCAAAGTCCCAGAAGGCCGTCATGTGGAAGGCCATGTTGGAGAAGACCACCAGGTATTCAAAGAGGGCGAACAAAGTGTAGACTGGGGGGGGGGAGAGAAATGTATTAATTGAAACTGAAAACCTGAAGAATGAATAATCTGCAGGTGAAAGATTCTTTAACTTTAGCATCTTAAAAACTCTGAGGCTGCAGAATAACTCTCACAACTTTAAAATCAACACTATGAACAGCGCCCCCTGCAGCCACACACGGAGATGAATCGTGTTGGGCTGTCTGAGTGTTTTCATGAGTAGAAAATGTGTCGAGTGGAACTTTGACGTAAACTCACTGAACTGAAATCAACAGAAACTACAGATCAGAAAGTTAAACCGGCCCCCGACCCCTGAGGACCTGACGACTGTAGAGTCCTACCTCCGCTCTCACAGAACTTGTTGTGGCGTCTGAAGAAGTACGCTGCCGCCAGACAACAGCCCACGTTAAACAGGAAAAGACGCACCTTCCATTGGTATGATGTCACTTCCTGAGAAACAGAGAACCATGAACATGAACAAAATTCACTCATTCATATCTTTATAAAGGTTTTGAAGGTTTAAGAGTGTTTCTGTGTGTGTGTGTGTGTGTTTCTGTGTGTGTGT